GGGCGAGGGCGGGCGGCGCGCTGACTGACGCGCCAGGCCGCCAATCCGAGACCGCGGTGGGGCGGGGAGGGGGCGGGGCCTCCGCGTGCCGTCGGGCAGGGAGCCGGGTTGCACCCGAGTGTCAAGTACACCGCAGCTGGCCAGGTGGGGCCGGGACTGCTCCTTGGGAATTCAATCTGCATGGATACGCGACCTCCCCGGCACTTGACATCGAGGCCCACTGAGTAGGAACCAAAGAAGCATGGACGATGGTGGAGAAGAACCTATGTCTTTTTCCTCTCCGCGGCAAGATTACAGGAAGATTCCCTCCGCTGTTAGTTGCCATTGAGTCGATTCCGATTCATAGTGACCCCACGTGTACAGAGTAGAACTGCTCTGTAGGGTTTTTCAAGGCTGTGACGTTTCAGGAGAAAATCGCCACGCCTTTCTTCTGAGTCGCCTCTGGGTAGATTTGAACTGCCAACCTTTCAGCTAGTGGTTGAGAGCTTAACCATTTGTGTCACCCAGGGACTCCTCCCTTGTCTGACATGTACATTAAACCAGTGGGATCATGGCCAAGGGAGGGCAAGACTGGAATCCAGATGCAGCTGTTGGCCCAAGGCCTGTTCCACTAGACTGGGCAAATTATCTGATCTTTATTCCCCGTGGGTCAGCAAAACCGGGTTATTTTTACTTAAACTCACAATTTACTTTGGGAGCGAGAATATGTGCATCATTGACAAAATTAACCCTCTGATGAATGGTTAATCAGAAGGAAATAATGTGGGAGTGGCTAGCAGTAAAAATAAACAGTCCCACAATAAAAGTGTGCTCAGAACAGGTTCTTCTGCCTGATTTCCTAGCCAAATGGACCCTTCTATTTATTTTCAGAAGACAATGAAAATCCTGGTGAATACTCTTGTCAACATACCCAATTCCAGAGACACACAGATTCGTATTTGAACATGTTTTGGCACTGTTTGAAACAGAAATTTCATAACTAAAGAAAGATGTAGGTAACACCCTGGAATTTTACATCCACTCAGTATCCTCAGGGCAGTGTACAGGTAATTGAATCACTTTCTCCTTTCACCTAAGTCTCAGAGCAAAGGATTAGAGGATCACAGGTCTTTGGGGACTCTGGTAGAATTCTCTCTTAGAGGCAACTGAAATTAATATAATGCCAGGCATTTATTGACAGCTGACATCAGGCCAGGCACTTAGGTAAGTCCTTTACATATATTATTTCACTTTATTTTCACACTTACACATAAGGTAAGTACCAGTTTACAGATAAGGAAACTGAGGCTCAGTTAGTGCCAGGGCAGAGTTTGAACCTAGGTCCGACCTCTAAACCACCGTACCATTCTGCAGCCTATGATTCACAGAAGATAATAAAAATGTTCCCAAACTCTGCTGCATGTTTAGAAAAAACTTTCTTTATCCAAATCAGATTTTAACATCGAAGGGTAGTTTCCTACAGTTATAAAACACGACTTGCGTGTGTAGAACCCCGTTACTCATACAAAATTAATGGCCTGAAATTGCTGTGCCTAATTAAACCTAAACAGGGTTATGAGTAGAAGCTGAAAATCCCAGGACCAAGTACTGTGGTATAACAAAATAAAATTTACTTAAGTCCTTTAACCACAAAACAAATCAGCCAGTTCACCTCCCCTCTTCCCATAAGAGTATATTTACGAACACATCTGTTTGTACTCGGCCTAAAATCCTCTCAATTCGTTCACATTCTGGATTTTGTGTTTGGCTGTTCACTGTTACCCCACAAGTTGAATGGGAGGCCTCTTACTGTGGTTCCTACAGACCCAAACCTTGGAGCCAGACTGCCTGGCTTGGCTGCCTACCGGCCATGAGGCCTAGCACACGTTATTTAATCTTTTGTGCCTCAGTTTCCTTATCTGTAAAATGGTGTTCATAAGAACGTGCCTCATGGGATTGTTATGGATATTAAATGACTAAATATCTGCAAAGGCCTTAGAATGATGTCTGGCACCTAATAAAGACCACACAAGTGTCAAATAAAAAATGTGAATATACACAGAGAATTCTGATTAGCTTTCTGGTCTGCCTCTATATGTTTTACTATCTTTCTTAACAATATTAGGGTTATTGACCTTTTTCTTCCTTTATACCTAGATTGTGAGCTCCTTGAGGGCAAGTATTCTAACACAGAATCCCTAGTGCCTAGCTCAGAGCTTGGAAATTTGCGAATGTGGTGAACTGAGCCTATGGCATGAGGCCAGCTAAAGATCACGCTCGGCCAAGACCTCTGTAATAACAGACTTTGCTGAAATAGTGATACAAATCAACGCACTCACCAAAATATCGAATTGAAAGCAACAACAACAACAACAAAAGACAGTGCCTAGCATTGTGCTGGAGTCCCTGGGTGGCACAAATGGTTAACTCGCTCAGCTGCCAACCAAGAAGTTGGAGGTTCAAGTCCAACCAGAGCCTCCTTGGAAGAAAGGCCTAGCAATCTACTTCTGAAAAATCAACCATCGAAAACTCTATGGAGCACATTTTAATTCTGACACATATAGGATCACCAGGAGTCAGAATCGATTCGACAGCAACTAGTTAGCATTGTGGGTAGAAGCCTCCTAACTGTGATGCTCAGGAGTTCACATCTGGGGCAACATCTACTCCAGATAGTCACACAGAGGGTGGTGATATGCCCAAAATCAGAAAAAAGAGAAAAGAACTGGTCAACAGCCCCTAGCAATGTTTTTTAGAGTTTTTGTTTTCATTTGGTTCTTGTTTCTTGACCGTTTGAACTCTGGAAATGGAATGCAAGCATCCACAACCACTGAGGAGATTACGAAATGTATTTTCCATTGCTATGTCCAACCCTTCATATTACTGAAGGGTCACTCATTCATATCTGGGTCAGCCCCGGGTTAGGACAAGCTGACCGTCACTCTGAGAACAGTGGAACTGCTACACCTTTGGTCAATGGAATTGCAAGCTTTGTTTCTAGTAAGACAGTTTCCTTGGTAGACTAAGCTCCTCTAACAGAGAGGTTGCAAACAGAGACATTGAGTCAGTTGCTGTAATTCCTGCATCAGGAATGAAGCCTGGCACATGGAGGGTAAATATTCAATATTCACTGAATGAAAACATGAGTGAACGAGGGAGTGAGAGAATGATCAGACTTCCTGCTAAGAATCAGTGAAAATTTCCAGCCTATATTCACTTCCAATTGTCCTTATCCAACTTCATTGTCTTTTAAAGCATTATGCTATCTCTGTTAATATCCATAAACATTGAAATTTCGGAAATCCTTTGCTTACCTTTGTATTGTTGATGTGAAACCCACATAACATACAATTAACCATGTTAAAGTGTACAATTTAGTGGCATTAGTGCAGTCTAACTGGTTTCAACACTTTTTCATCACCCCAGAACACTCCATACCCTTTAAGGAAGCACTCCCCATGCCACCCGCACCGCCTGGCAAACACTAATCTGCTTTCTGTCTCTAAGGATTTGCCAATTCATATAAAAGGAATCATACAATACATGGTCTTTTATGTCTGGCTTCTTTCACTTAACATAATGTTTAGGAGGTCCATCCAAGTTGTAGCATGTATCAGTACTTCATTCCTTTTTATGGCTAAGTAATATTCTTTTATGTGTGTATCCCATAATTTGTTTATCTGCTCATCCATTGATGGACATTTGTTTCCACTATTATGAATAATGCTGCTATAAATATGTGTATACCAGTTTCTCTGTGGACACATGTTTTCATTTATCTTAGGTATAGAAATGCTTTGCTTTCTACTTCAGTTCTTCACTGGATCTGAACATATGTTGGTTCTTATTTATATGAAGTCCCTGAATTAGTACAAAAACTTTTATGTCAAAATTAGTCAGGGTCAGTTTTTGTAGGAGAGGACAGTGTGTAGAGGTCAACTGATGATGAGGATGGTGATGGTGATGATGATGATGGTAGTACTATAAATAATAGTCCTGATCGCAAACAGAGGTTGTAGGATTGAATGAATTAATACATGGAGACCACATGACAGAGCCTGGCACTTCCTTATTGAGCACAACCTCCACTTGAAATTGGTACTATTATTATTCCCGATATATACAGATAAAGACACTGAGGCACAGAGAGGCTTAAGTCTCTTGCTGCAGGTCATCCATCGAGTGAATAGCAGTCTAGGGTTTGAACCCAGGTCCCAGGGCCATATGGAAAGGATTCCCTAAAAAAAAAAAAAAAAAAAATCACCTCCTGGGAACTTGACGATTCCTAAAAGTCATGTCCTGCTCTTTCTCCTGGATAAGCAGAGCCTAGAAGAAGCGTGGTCTACCCTTGCCAGTCTGGGGCTTGGGTGAGGTGCCCCAAGTCCGCCATCACAGCATGAAAGTTAGCAAACACTGCAAGCGGTGAACACAACGTGACACCAAGATCCAAGCGGACCTACACAACCGAATCCAAACAGGCAAGGCAGCAATGGGGAAGCCCAGGTGTGACGCCTGAACAGGCAGGGAAACCAGGAAGGTTCTCGAGAGGGGCCAACATGGCAAGAGCAGAAGCAAGCCTAAAGAATCCCGAAGCTATCCAGTGGGCACTGGCAGAAGTTTCTATGACACCCCACACTGGGGTCGTTAAGTGGTCCAAGCAGGGTCCTTAGGCTACAACTCAAAACGTATTTCTTGGCCTGAGATTTTGTCTACCATAAAGGTAATACCAGACATCTGAACTACAACTAACCAACCAGTTGCCATTGAGTCAACTCTGACCCATAACCTCATGTGTGTCAGCGTATAACCGTGTTCCGTTGGGTTTTCAGTGTCTACTTTTTCAGAAGGAGATCACCAGGCCTTTCTTCTGAGGCAACACTGGGTGGACGCAAAGCCCCAATCTTTCAGTTAGTAGCCTGATGTGTTAACCCTTTACACACCAAGGGACTCCAAATTGTCAACAAGCCTTGCTCTTTCTAAGAGTAGGTGTTTTTAAGGACATTGCAAAGACAGAAGAGCTGGCTACAGGGATCAAGGAGGCCGGCTTACAGCCCCAAAGGAGAACTGAAAGATGAGGGGGCGGTGTGTGTGGAGAAGAACTTCACAGTTTTGTGAAGGTACGGACCAGAACTTAGCATTTCCTTAAAATTTTTTTTTTAGCAAATTAGATGACTTTGCTGTTTCCCAAATTCCTGACATCTGT